CCACCATTCAATGAGGCAACGCCAACACTCCTCCTCCTCCTTCCCTTTCCTCCATTCAAGTAGTCTCACTCTCGAGGCCCAACATGGACTTTACCAGTAACAGCGACTACCCTCCTCCTCCTCCTCCTCCTCGGCTCTTCAACTTCCCCAGTCATTGCGCGCGATTATAAACGCACATCTCAACTAACACCAACTCCTGACCAAATCGACGGCTCATTTTGTCATCATAATTACACACACCATGCCTACCCTCGTCGCTTCCGGAACTTCTCACTGAGTCAGTCCCATGCAACTAGGAGTGCTTCAAAGGCATTTGCAGCTAATGGCTTTGCTAAAATGTCTTTGAGCATGAATTGACATAGGTGGAGGTTTAATGCCTTAAACATTGCTCACCTATCTGATCCTCTCTGAGATCTGTTGCATAAATAATTTTTGGAATACCGACGAGATGAAAAGTGAACGCTCTCCGCTGCGACATTAGCTTACTCGCTTAAGACGAATCAACGCAAATCCTAGGACTCAGCCTAGTGAAATACAAACAATAGGCAGTCTGATTAGACCATTCCAGTTGCACAAATTAACGCCTACCCCGCCAGCCTTCGCGTTGACCACTTCAGTGCCTGCGTTTTGTATTCGAGCCACCAATTGTTCGCGCGTTTTCTGGCGATAAAAAAAAATCAGAGCAGAATCGAGGCCATCAAGGAATCTAATAAAGTTATTTCGTGGTTTCATTGCTTTTAAGAATGGCACAAATTTAAGTACAAATAAATATCCTATAGCACTATTAAACCTTGGAATACAATTGTCAACATGTGGAAATGCCTGTAGCATCATGTATACATGCAGTCAAGCATTCATGTCACAGGTCTGCTGGCGACCCAGACACGGGAAAGCATAATGCTAGCTCTACTAAAGCGGGCTTAGCCTTGGCATGAGGTTGGACGCAGTTTAACGTTGTGAATGCGGTCAGTTTTCCTAAGAATCACATTAAATGAGTTTCGTACCTACCTGCGGAAAGCTTACAGACGGAGTGCATTGAGAAAAGACTGGAATTATAGTGTTGCCGGAGTGACCGCCGATGACAGGACAAGACACCTTTGCAACATCCAATCCCTACAAAAGGACCAATGTTGATAAAATTGCTAGTGATGTAGAAAAAAGGGTAGAAAACCCCTTAGTCTATGAGATTGCATGACTTTGGTTCATCAGCTACCCTCCAGACACCGCATTTGAGTGCCTTTGTCAGCGTAAATGCAAGCATAAATGCCAACATCGGACCGAAAGCAGTGACTAAACAAAATATTAAAGATATAACAGTGCATCGTGATCGTTGCTTTCATCCAAGTCTTACACCCCTTCCAATAGCCAAAGTAGCGATGACCTCTAAAAATGCAAAAGATGAGTGTGCTCACCTTCGTCTCGGCGATGAAGGTATTTGAACGGATGATGTCCAAAGTAGTGACACCAAATAAATTCTTTGGATTGTAAGCACCCTCCTTCTTCAACATCTCTGCCGCTATCGGTACCGTGCTATTTACCGGATTTGTTATGATGCAAATCATTGCATCAGCACAGTACTTGCCACAGGCTCTGGAAAGTTCTGCTACAACTGATGCATTCTTCGAAAAGAGATCATCTCGGGTCATACCTAAGTCCCAAATACCAATATAAGTACCGACTTAGATGAAAAAAACTGCTTTCCTCTTCCTGCATTAATAGTGCGACACCTTCAAATATTCATATACGCAAACGCATAAACATAACTAATAAACTGGCTCTCGACGAATTCAGCGAGCTATGGGCACACAAACCACGAACATCCCCTTTTTAAATAGCAGAAGAAGCAAGTTCACACAAGTAGAACGCACCAGGTTTTCGAGGCACACCAGCTGGGATGAGTACCAACTTCGCACCCTCCAGCGCCGCCTTCAGGTTGTCAGGTCCGGTATGACCAGTCACTCTAGCACGAGTCTCAATGTGACTCAGGTCTGCAGCAACTCCTGCTGTATTTGCGATATCGTAAAGTGCTATGTCCGAAACGAATACCGATTGTTTCATGAGGAGTGCCAGTGGCTGTCCAATTCCCCCGCTCGCACCCAAAATCGCGATTTTTTGGGGGTTCTAAAGAAAAGCACATAAGTTGTATGCATTGATGGTACTTGAGCGGAGGTTGAAAAGCGCTTAGCTGACCAACCCACGATAACGCTAATACTACGCAAGAACTTCATGGCTAGCGTATGTCTAACTCCGAAAATTCGAATCGCTCCCGAGGTCGTTGTCTAATAACAGCTCATGTAAACAAATTGGAAGAGCCTATGGTGCAGATCATTGCATTGTTTCAAGCATTGGTGAAAATAAACGCTAATAACAACGCCTATGCCAATGTCCTTTGGCCCGTTAATCCTATGGAGGAAAAGTGCTTAAATCAGTAATAATGCAAGACTGGTGTTTGTTAAAATGCATTAATAACCTTGCCTGCCACTATATTATTATTTTAGAGATTTTATGTCATCTAATGCAAAAAAT